TGGGGAGGGAGATGGGGGGGCAAGTAGGGGGTGAAGCAGCTCCCCCCGCCCCCCCGCCGCTCGCAGAGCCCCCGAGGCGCCTGCAAAGGGCCCGCATTTTGAGGAAAGAGCCCTCATTTTTAGCAAAGAACCGCGGTTTTTAGCAAAGAATCCTCATTTTTAGTGTAAAGGACGCTGATTTTTCGCAAAGGACCCTCATTTTTAGCAAAGAACTGGATTTTTAGGAAAGAACCCTCATTTTTAGCAAAAAGAACCCTAATTTTTAGTGAAGGGCCCTAATTTTTGGCAATGAACCCCGATTTTTGGCAAAGAACTGGAATTTTGAGTAAGGGATCCGGACTTTTGGCAAAGGATCCTCATTTTTAGCAAAGAGAGCCCTGATTTTTTGCAAACCCCCCTGATTTTTAGCAAAAAGAATCCTAATTTTTAGCAAAGGAGCCTCGCTTTTAGCAAAGAGAACCCCAATTTTTAGCCCAGAACCCTCATTTTTTGGCCAAGAACCCTGATTTTTAGCCAGGATCCCTAATTTTTTGGCAAAGAAGCCAATTTTTACTAAAGAACCCAGACTTTTAGCCAAGAACCCTGACTTTTAGCAAAAACAAGCCTGATTTTTAGCCAAGAACCTGGATTTATAGCCAGGAACCCTCATTTTTTGGCAAAGAATCCCAACTTTTAGCCAAGAACCCTGATTTTTAGCAAAAAGAACCCCGATTTTTAGCAAAGAGAACCCTCATTTTTAGCAAAAAGAAACCCAATTTTTAGCCAAGAGCCCTCATTTTTTGGGAAAGAACCCTCATTTTTAGCAAAAAGAACCCAGATTTTTAGCAAAGAACCCCGATTTTTAACCAAGAACCCTCATTTTTAGCAATGAGAACCCTGATTTTTAGCCAGGAACCCTCATTTTTTTGGAAAAAACCCATATTTTTAGCCAAGAACCCTCATTTTTAGCAAAAAGAGCCCCAATTTTTAGCCAATAACCCTCGTTTTTGGGCAAAGAACCCTGATTTTTAGCCAGGATCCCTAATTTTTTGGCAAAGAAGCCAATTTTTACTAAAGAACCCAGACTTTTAGCCAAGAACCCTGACTTTTAGCAAAAACAAGCCTGATTTTTAGCCAAGAACCTGGATTTATAGCCAGGAACCCTCATTTTTTGGCAAAGAATCCCAACTTTTAGCCAAGAACCCTGATTTTTAGCAAAAAGAACCCCGATTTTTAGCAAAGAGAACCCTCATTTTTAGCAAAAAGAAACCCAATTTTTAGCCAAGAGCCCTCATTTTTTGGGAAAGAACCCTCATTTTTAGCAAAAAGAACCCAGATTTTTAGCAAAGAACCCCGATTTTTAACCAAGAACCCTCATTTTTAGCAATGAGAACCCTGATTTTTAGCCAGGAACCCTCATTTTTTTGGAAAAAACCCATATTTTTAGCCAAGAACCCTCATTTTTTGGCTGAGAACCCCAATTTTTAGCAAAGGACCCTCATTTTTAGCAAAAAGAGCCCCGATTTTTAGCCAATAACCCTCATTTTTGGGCAAAGAACCCTGATTTTTAGCCAAGAACCCTGATTTTTAGCCAAGAACCGTCATTTTTGCGCAACCCCCCCAGATTTTTAGCCAAGAACCCTTATTTTTTGGCCGAGAACCCCAATCTTTAGCCAGAAATCCTCATTTTTAGCAAAAAGAACCGCAATTTTTAGCCAAGAACCCCAATTTTTAGCAGAAAGAACACTGATTTTTAGCCAGGAACCCTCTTTTTTTGGCAACGAAACCCGATTTTTAGCAAAGAACCCTCATTTTCAGCAAAAAGAACCCAGATTTTTAGCCAAGAACCCTCATTTTTTGGCCGAGAACCCCGATTTTTAGCAAAGAACCCTCCTTTTTAGCAACGAGAACCCTGATTTTTAGCCAGGAACCCTCATTTTTTTGGAAAAAACCCATATTTTTAGCCAAGAACCCTCATTTTTAGCAAAAAGAGCCCCAATTTTTAGCCAATAACCCTCGTTTTTGGGCAAAGAACCCTGATTTTTAGCCAAGAACCCTGATTTTTAGCCAAGAACCGTCATTTTTGCGCAACCCCCCCAGATTTTTAGCCAAGAACCCTTATTTTTTGGCCGAGAACCCCAATCTTTAGCCAGAAATCCTCATTTTTAGCAAAAAGAACCGCAATTTTTAGCCAAGAACCCCAATTTTTAGCAGAAAGAACACTGATTTTTAGCCAGGCACCCTGATTTTTAGCCAGGAACCCTCTTTTTTTGGCAACGAAACCCGATTTTTAGCAAAGAACCCTCATTTTCAGCAAAAAGAACCCAGATTTTTAGCCAAGAACCCTCATTTTTTGGCCGAGAACCCCGATTTTTAGCAAAGAACCCTCCTTTTTAGCAACGAGAACCCTGATTTTTAGCCAGGAACCCTCATTTTTTGGGTAAAACCCCCAGATTTTTAGCCAAGAACCCTC